ATTCCTTGGCTGCAACTCCACTCGTCTCGGCCATCGCTTGCAGAGCCGTGCCGTGCCCCAACCCGCGTGACTATTAAGAGTGTTTGTCGTTCACCTCCATACGTCCTCTCGTCCATGTGCTCCGTCTCTCAGGCATCGCTCCGTGACTCGTTGGACACTTCTTTTTATTATTGTTCTATACTGTTTAGTAATTTACCACGTTTCTTAACCGTTATATGTCATGACAGGCAGTTTGCGTCGATTAAAAACGTCATTGTTAGGCAAATGTGTGCGTGACTTTTCACTATCAAGCATTTTTTTCCCCAAAAGGACTGTACACCTGCTCCTCAATGTATTATCTAACATCGATTTATGATTGTGCGAAATGTTCTATTTATCTTGTGACGACGCAGTTATTATTCAGATTTTTATTTGCTTTCATCGCTAAACAAATTTTTATTCTATTATTTTTGTCATTTTGGTGACCCAGGGTCACTCTTGCAATTGAGGCTCCCGATCTCTTGAATGGCCACCTGATACCAACAAATTACACTTCGTCCGCCTCTGTATTTCATCAACTTCTGGTCCGCTTTCAATACCTATTTTAGGAACACACACATATTCGATTGTGCTTGCTTTCCAGTCGCAGCCTTGCCAAGAACGCAACAAAATAAATGGCTCAACTGGAACGCATTCACGGCGGCATGCATTGGGTTCATTTCGGATCGCGATTTTGCGTCCGAATTGTTTGCACTGGTTTCTTCGGTCCAATACTCCGTGGAACAGGCTTTTGTAATCCGCTGCAGATGCCACTCACACGTACAGCACGGCGCGAAATTTAATACCAGTCAGCTGTGGCTATACCCAGACGGAAACCGCTTAGACAATACAGAATGTCGCATATCCGACGTTCACGTTCGACAACTTACTCATTAACCGCCCTCGCCCAATGAGCAACTGCGTGTGACTTTCACGTTCAGTGGGTCTTAGTCTCGCGTACACTCGCTCACTTCTAAAGTGCACTCAAGCATCTTCCCCGTGGCTACTCATTTCCCGATACTTTCACTTCAGCGTAGATGTACTGTGCAAGGGGTCCTTCACCAGTGGATCTCAAGAGCGCCGCGCGTGGCGAGAAGGAACCGGGGAGAGAAAGATTAAAGAGACCAGACAGTGAATTAGAGAATGGAGGTGTGATTAAAAATGTCGGGTCTTCAGCCAGGGACGCGTAAGTGTCCATCAAGGGCCGGGAACTCCGAAGGATGGGCGCGGTGCGGACACAAGCGCGGTGCTCGCCACCCCAGGCATTCAGATATGCGACGCCGTCCTGCACACGCATTACCCCATCTGCATTTATAGTACAATTTACATCGATAAATTGGAGGGGGGGGGGGGGGGGGGTACCGTTTAGTCATTATATAGCAAAACAAAGTTTTAGCCCGATGCAAGTTGTGTAACGCAGCCATAAGGATCGATTAAAAGTCCTTATACCCATTGTAGCCTGGCATATCCGATCCGAGCCAGCGCAGTGCATCTCATGGGACAAGACATCTGAATCTGGCTCGGGGCCAAGCAGGGCCAGGGACGGGGTTAATTATTTCTATAATTGTGACGTCAGTCGACAAAACTACAAGAACATCGCGTCACCTACATGTGACTCGACTCGTTTGTTCCGCGTGACGTTGACAGCACATCTCGGCCTCTGCAGTGGAAAAAAAAAATACGTACCATGTCGTGAGCCGCGCCGGGCGGCCATGGAAATGGGGGGGGGGGGAAGAGGTATTCCTCTCGACCCACCGTCTGTACAAGCCCAACACAGTCGCACACGAACGCTCGTCGGAGCCACCTCTTCTGGCTGCACCTGCGGCAAGGGATTTATAAACCCCGGAGCGGAACACCACATCGTCGCGGGATTCTGGATATTTACCACGGTCCTGGTTCGCATTATCAGCACCGCATTCCACGCGGCAGCTGGGCAGGCTGCAGCGGACGAGCTCGCCGCTGGTTGGTATGTGCAGGTGCGCTCGGTCTCCGTGTTCCGAGAACAATAAGCAATCGCCCAGAGCAGAGGACATATATCACAATCGTGCACACCGTTAATAAGGATTGCTGAATGCACTCAGTAGGTCTTGGGACTTAGCAGCGCGCTGGACTTGCGATGATGCCAGGTCGCCGGGTTGATTTAATTCCCCGGCGCTGCAGTTGCAACGATGGGGGGGGGGGGGGGGCGGGTTTCTCAATCCCCATCACCGCCTCCGTCCACCCAGCAGCATGAACGGATTCACCACAATTTAAATGCGTGGGCTTTCGCGACCAATATTATTAATAAAGTCATTTTTCGGTTAGATCGCGTAAATGTTAACGTGTTGTACATCCACTTCCACCCGACACGTGAAATCAGTAAGGTTTGTCACTTGAACAAAACGTGACAATTTGTTACTACTTAAGCACGTGTGTTGCCGTAATCGGTAAATCGCCTGATGATGATGCGGGTAGCAATGACCAGCGAAACTCCGGAATTGTGAACGCTGTGGGTTTACTAACACACACCGGTTAGCCAATCAGCTCTCGACAGCTGCCTCGAGTGGAGGCCCCTCTACGACATGAGCGAGCAGTTTCATGGCTGCACCTTTACCGACTCCATCTTTTGGCTGTCCGCCTGATGATGCTGGTTGTAATAACTGGCGAAACGTCGTACTCGAATTGTAAATGTTGTGGGCTTTACTCTCCAACAGACCGGCGTGCTGTATTAGTAAGAAATTGGCATGTTTTGTTTACGTGACAAACCTTACTTAATGGTCGTGTCGGGTGTAACGACGCGTATATATTCACGTGATTTAACACAAGCACCTATATTATGCGGCAACGACATCGGCGAGCAGTTTCATGGCTGCACCTTCTTTTGTACTGTACATGACTGGCCCTGTTCGGCCTCTGCATGGGCAACTTACCAATTATTTAGATCGACCAATATGTAGTCACGTTCACCTTCGCGCAGTGCCGCTTACATCACATACACCGTATACACACATGGGGTCGTCACAACATTGAGGCACTCAGTTTATGGTATTTATAAGTGAATGTACAATATTGAACAATCCATGACATCAATAAAGCAGAGATGTGGTTGAAAAAAATCACACAGCCCTTAACACTGGGAATATGTAAATATCTGTACACAACCTTGAATGCAAATGGAACAAAGATACGGTACTGTTCATGTACTTCCCCCAAAGTCAAGGAGTCATCTCAGTCTACTCAATGGGCTCGCTCATTTCAGCTAGTGGCCCCGAGTGGTATAGCCAAATTCACATGGCCAGTGGTGGCGCTGGACAGAAAGAAACGAAGCATACGTTGCGTGCCCCAAGTAGCTCAAGGGGATGGCCCGGGCGAATGAAAACGTACGGATGCACCAAACATCAGCTCACATTGAAACCTAAATATGCTAAACATAGCGAGCTTACGTGACTTTACCGAAAAAAAACAAAGAGTATGAATCCTTGCAGTCACGAAAGCTTCAAATCTAGACTAGCGAGCTTATTAACAGAGCCATATCGTCTCGCTAACCGCGACCTCATCTGCCTCTCCCTTCTCTCATTTCTACCGCATCCCTACGTTTGCTTACATTTCTCAGATCTCGATACAACGCCGTCTCTCGTCTAGAACTCCCCCGTCATCTCACTCGGGGGGTGGCGGTCGCCACGCTTAAGACACATTCTGCTCGGGGCCCGCAATGGGCCAGCGTCACCAGTGGTCGGATCCTCCATCACACGAGGGACAGATGTGCAACCACCGACTCCACACACAGCAAAAGGCGATGAAGGTTAACGACCCTGTTTCAGTAATGCTCAGTCAATCCCACATCGTGACGAGAGATGGACCATTGTTTAGGACGCTTCACGTGCAAGCCCTCTAGGCGGCAGATGACAATTCGTACTTTTATGCTCCCGATGCTCTCCTGCCCCCATGAACCAACACGCACTGACCAGCGTGGGGAAGTATGGTCAAATATACGACAGATCCAGGGAGGCCCCAGTCCAGCTGTCGAATGCAAACTCGGGTTGTATATGCGCGTGTGTAACGTCAAAGTCATTTACAGACTGTTGGGACAAGTGCCGTTAGCGAACACCTAATAAGGCAGATACAGCGCACGAATAGGGTTTGGTGTGTTCCACACCATATCCGTACGGCTTTGCCTCCCCCGTGTTGATCTTCACACACACACCATATACTCATTTAAGTTTCAGTAGACCTCGGAGAGGTGCAGGTCCAGATCAGAAAACTAGCACTGATTGTATCCACTGTAAGTGGTTACCATATATACATAAATACAATTGCTTAAAACGTAAAATCAACACATGATTGTAAATGATTTAGCGTAGATTTCGATATGCAAATATCCAAAACATATAGACTTGGTATATATTTCAAAAATGTTGAATCTCTACCCAATGAAAAGCAATTCGACTTTACGGGCGCATTCAAAATAAACCACTCGACTTTTGTAACTGTTTAAAGACGCGCACATGAGCGAATCATCTTAGATAACTACAATGGATACTGATGTTGTCCAGTAACCTGGACTCGAACCCAGGTCGGCTGGTTCGGAGCACAGTGCGCTTACAACCACGCTACCGCTCTAGATACAAATACAAAACCCCCCGTATAGCCTCAACAGACTGAAGGGGCAAGTGCTGTTAGCGATTTGCTCCTTAGAAGGCCGGAACGCCACACGAGGGGGTGGGTGGCCAGCACCACGCCCGACCGCCTTTGTCTCCCCAGTGGCGATGTTTACACACCGCACCAGGTACTCATTTGAGGCCGAGTCGATCTAGGGGTTGCCGGGTTCTTAGCGCAGCGCGCCAACCGCTACACCACACACAAAAGATAAAGCTCCCCCATGCAGCGTTTTCGTGATGCTGGGACAAGTGCTGTTAAGCGAGCACCTATAAAGGCCGGCACGGCGTACGAGGCGGTGTGGCCAGCACACACAGACGGACGTGCCCACACATTGGTGGGACGACTCAGTACGTGAACACGAGGCTGGAGAAGCTGGACTCGAGCCAGGGAGAGCCGGAGAGGATCTCGTTCATCTCGGGAGAGCGCAAGTCGGGGAAGTCAAAGTGAGACGCACTACTGCCCTCACTCAACGAGTCCACGTCTCGGTCCAGCGAGCCCAGCAACTGCACGTCTCGTCCCATCTCCTCGTCTTCATCCTCCTCCTTCTCCTCCTCCTCCTCCATAACTTTCTCCTTGTCCAGCTCGTACCAGTTGCTGCCCGCGTAGCCACGGCTCCTGCCCGACATGAGCGCAGCTCCATCCCCTTCATCACCACGAGGGTCTTCCTCCATTCTGGCGCCGTCGTGCCTCGCCGCCTGCTCGCAGAGTCCGGAGCCTCCTCCCGACGCTGGCCTCTGCGGCCTGGACCTCGTGGTGTCCCGACTGCGGCTGCTCCCAGTGGAGTCGCTCGCGCGCCTCGCATCGTCCGGCAGACGCCCGTGGGCCACAGCGCGCTTCCTCGCTCCGCCTCCTGCCGCCGCCGCGGCTGCCGCTGCCTTTGCTCTCGCGGCAGAGGACGGCGGCGGCGGCCCAGAATGGTGACGAGGTTGGTGTGGAGGAAGGCGTTGAGATGACGACGATGGAGGTAGCTGTGTAGCGGGAGGCTGAGCCTTGACCCGCTTGCGTGGTCGGTATTTGTAGTCGGGGTGGTCGGCCATGTGCTGAGCGCGAAGCCGCTCCGCCTCGCGAACGAAGGGCTTCTTCTCCGCGTCTCCCAGCAGCCTCCAGAGGCGTCCGAGCCGCCTGGAGATCTCGGCGTTGTGCATCTCGGGAGAGAGCTCCATCAGCCGCCGCCTCTCGATCTGAGCCCACACCATGAACGCGTTCATGGGCCTCTTTATGTGCCCCGTGAGACGCGGCGGTGGCGGCGGCGCGATGCTGCCGGTTGCCGTGGTGGTGGCGGCGGTGCACGCGGCTTGAGAAGGCCGCCTCATCGTGGATCGCCCGCTGCCTCCGAGATGGCGCTGGTGGCGTTGGAGCTGCGGGTGCCGAGTCCCGCCAAGAACGCGAGACGCCGGTCCCGCACACGTGCGCGCCGCTTATATATACTGGGGGTGACGTCACGACCTAGGGGGGAGGGTGGGGTGGAGTGGGAGGGGCGGGGCTAGGGTAATTTTCTTAAGCGGCAGTGTAAAAGACTTCCCCTGGCACCCCCATCGACTCCTCCCCACCCCCGTAGACTCCCCCCCACCCCCATAGACCCCCCCACCCCCATAGACTCCACCCCCATCGACTCCCCCCCCACCCCCATAGACTCCCCCCCCCCACCCCCATAGACTCCCCCCCACCCCCATAGACTCCCCCCCCCACCCCCATCGACTCCCCCCCCACCCCCATAGACTCCCCCCCACCCCCATAGACTCCCCCCCCATCGACTCCCCCCCCCACCCCCATAGACTCCCCCCCACCCCCATAGACTCCCCCCCACCCCCATCGACTCCCCCCCCCACCCCCATAGACTCCCCCCCACCCCCATAGACTCCCCCCCACCCCATCGACTCCCCACCCCCATAGACCCCCCCCACCCCCATAGACTCCACCCCCATCGACTCCCCCCCCCCACCCCCATAGACTCCCCCCCCCCACCCCCATAGACTCCCCCCCACCCCCATAGACTCCCCCCCCACCCCCATCGACTCCCCCCCCCACCCCCATAGACTCCCCCCCACCCCCATAGACTCCCCCCCACCCCCATCGACTCCCCCCCCCCACCCCCATAGACTCCCCCCCACCCCCATAGACTCCCCCCCACCCCCATAGACTCCCCCCCCCCCACCCACATAGACTCCCCCCCACCCCCATAGACTCCCCCTAGCACCCCCATCGACTCCCCCCCCACCCACATAGACTCCCCCCCCACCCCCATAGACTCCCCCTAGCACCCCCATAGACTCCCCGCCCCACCCACATAGACTCCCCCCCCACCCCCATAGACTCCCCCCCCACCCCCATAGACTCCCCCCCCCCCACCCCCATAGACTCCCCCCCACCCCCATCGACTCCCCCCCCCCACCCCCATAGACTCCCCCCCACCCCCATAGACTCCCCCCCACCCCCATAGACTCCCCCCCACCCCCATCGACTCCCCCCACCCCCATAGACTCCCCCTAGCACCCCCATCGACTCCCCCCCCACCCCCATAGACTCCCCCCCCCCACCCACATAGACTCCCCCCCACCCCCATAGACTCCCCCGCCCCACCCTCATAGACTCCCCCCCACCCCCATCGACTCCCCCCCCACCCCCATAGACTCCCCCCCCCCCCACCCCCATAGACTCCCCCCCCACCCTCATAGACTCCCCCCCCCCCACCCCCATAGACTCCCCCCCACCCCCATAGACTCCCCCCCACCCACATAGACCCCCCACCCCCATAGACTCCCCCCCCCACTCCCATCGACTCCCCCCCCCACCCCCATAGACTCCCCCCCACCCCCATCGACTCCCCCCCACCCACATAGACCCCCCCCACCCACATAGACTCCCCCCCACCCCCATAGACTCCCCCCCCCCACCCCCATAGACCCCCCCCCCCACCCCCATAGACTCCCCCCCCCCACTCCCATCGACTCCCCCCCCACCCCCATAGACTCCCCCCCCCACCCCCATAGACTCCCCCCCCCCACCCCCATAGACCCCCCCACCCCCATAGACTCCCCCCCCCCACTCCCATCGACTCCCACCCCCATAGACTCCCCCCCCCCCACTCCCATCGACTCCCCCCCCACCCCCATAGACTCCCCCCACCCCCATAGACTCCCCCCCCACCCCCCATAGACTCCCCCCCCCCCCCCCCCAAGGCAGCTGGACCGAGGGGGTGCCGGGTGCTCACGTTATCTCGTAAGAGGGAGAGGTCACGTTATCTCGTAAGAGGGAGAGGTCACGTTATCTCGTAAGAGGGAGAGGTCACGTTAAATCGTAAGAGAGAGAGGTCACGTTATCTCGTAAGAGGTTCAAACGGCACACGACAAAACAGTCCCACAAATTTTGCTAAACCCATCGACAGTTCCCTTGAAGAGCTACCCCATTGTGGTCCTCTCGTCTTACGCAGGGCCACGTTGCATTTCTTCAGGGACTGCTGATGGTTTTTGCATACTGCGCAAAGACCGAATGCTTTTTTGTACACGTTACTGCTGTGTGTTATTTGATACTTATGGTTTTTTCAGTCTGCGTTGTTTCTTCTTCTATTATGATGGGTATTTCTCGTAATTTACTGATTCCATTACTTTATTCCATACGGCTCCGGGCCACATAGTCGTACTAATCGGATACTGAGGGGGATATATTTTCGACTTATAATCGAGGGCTTTGCACCTTGGTATTTGAAACTGCGGTTCGACCTCCGGTATGAATCGGTCGCTTTCCCTTGTTAAAGGCTGATACAGCTAACCTATTCACAACTTAGTGGGGGTGTCATGATGCATCCGATTAATCGGATAATGATTTTAAGGTCGTAGTGCATAAATACAATTGTGTGTGTGTGAAAATGGATATACTGTATATTGTATTAATTTAATGTCCACGTAATCTCTGCGGCCACTAGAGCCCGCTATACTCGACTGGATGTTAATTGATTAATTAATAGATAGCATTGAGATCTTTAATGGATACAATTGGTGTATTCGTTGATATCGTATGCCCTTTCAAATATTTACTTACATAGCATATGTACTCGTAGCATCACGTGGCGCACACACTCATACAACACACACTCATAGCTTATATATAGATGGCCCTATCATCATGTAGAGAGGACACAATCATAGCTTATACACTCACCAGATGCATTTCAGCAGCACCCAAGCGCATTTGAGAGTCACCGCTTCCTGTAATAACCGAGAGGATTTTCAAATGCCCAAGACACTTCCACCAAATGTGTAGTGGACCTTTTTTTAATAAAGAGATGACAGTGCCTATGTAGTCAGTACTTGGCTGGGTGGCATTCCGATTGGAGTGCTTGACTCAAGAGGCGGTTAGAAGGGGGGGGGGGTCGCCCTCTCCCTGTTGAGACCCTGGATACTGGTATTTTATTGATATTGATAAGCAAATATACCCACGAACATGTTTTACTATGAATCCAGGGCCCTATTCAGAAAGCTTGGAATTTCTGGACCGCCGTCTCCCCCCCCCCCCCTCCTCACGCCCACGCCTCTTGCTGAGTTTTTAGATCTGGCCCTGGCATAGAAAGAAGAACTTCATCGAGGAGCGGATCGACAAATGTCTGTAAATAAATTCGAATTAAAACTCTCAGTCGACGTGGTGTTTGTCTGCGGTTCCCTCGCTGGTGCACAACTCGAAATAACAAAAAAAGAAGCGAGGGATTGAGGAGTCATCCTTGCTGGAGCCTCAGCCATAGCCAAACGAGGGGGGGCAGAGATGAGCCACCGCCTTGCCATCTGCTCCGAGGGCAACCGGCAGCAGCAAGCACTTCGCTTGGCTGCTGCCTGCGCGCGTCGCCGGCTCTGAACAGCCAGAGCCGTGATCACGCCCGCCAGCGAGGACCACGCGGCACGCCCGCTTACAAATTGACTCCCTAGGGATCTCCAAGCCAAATGTGGTTTTTTAATTTTCTTTTTCTTTGTATCTGTGCTTCTCCCACTCTCGTTCGGCATATGGTGGCTGCGAGTTTGTATCTTCATTAACGGGACTTATTATTATTATTACTCATCTTACAATTTGCGTTTTTAAATACCAAGCAGATGCATGCGTCGTGGTTGCATTTAAATGACACCACAAGGGGGAATCTGAGACTTAGTTTTGGCGATCATTATAGAGATAGGGGGTAACTGTTTCAGGAGCGTAGTGGTGGCGTCGTGGTTTGCAGACTGCAGCTGTAAAACCGGCGACTGGAGTTCGATTCATAGGCATAATTGACATCAGTTTCGAGTGATTTGGACCAGTCCTAAGTCTGTCCCCCCCCCCTCCTTCACCAAACCACACTGTAGTGAAGTATTGTCAACACTCGTCAACGACCGAAATACCGGGGGAGGCCTTCGCCAGCGGACTGACAAATGGCTGTCATTTCTCTTTAATTATTCACTGCCATCTCATGCAGAAACTCAACTCATTCGTCAATAGCACTGTTTCCCTCAAAAGTAAACAATATATAATAGCCCGTCTTCATAGCAGAGAGATAGAGAAGCCTGAGAGACAGAGTGAGCAATAGTTTGAGACTGCACGATACACAGTTTTAAATGTGGCATCTCATAAAGGACCAGGGCAGCAGTGGAACATCGGTGGTTAGGGTATGTTATCCTACAATCAGAGGATGCAAAGCATTCAAGTGGACAGAGACTCGGTAACCCCAAATATATCCCAGTCCAACCAATTATCTATACCTGTATGATGGCAGCGCGAATTATTTTCTTTCAAGATACATTAGTTTGCCTTTCTGTGCCCTAGGCAATGAACCACCAGAGTCCTGCGTGAATCTTTTGTTTCCAAAGCATCGCGCCCGGCTTTTCCAAACTCCATTAATCTTGGTTTCAGGTAGGACGGTACACCCTGTTCTCTTGTACCTAACAGTGCAGTGCACGTTTAGTGGTGCCCTCTCTTGAGCACCGGCCTCTGCATACCCACACGAACAGATGTGTCCAGACCATGGCACCTCCGTCACAAGGCAAGTGCCTCTACCACAACCTATTTAACATTGTCCAACCTGGTGAAGTATGGTCAAATAACCCCGCATGGTGTAGGAGAGGCCCTCTTATCCAGCAGTGGATTTACAAAAGGCCTACACATGTATATACAAGTTGATCATTTTATAGGCCACGTGTTTTTTAATCCTGCCCCACCTGTCCCCTTAGCACAGCGCTCTTCATTGCAAGGCCCGCGGGCCACTGGCGGGCCCTGGTGGCCTTTAGTGCGGCCCCCTGACGTGCGGCCCCCGACAATACACAGCACGTGACAACACTCAATCATGCTATAAACCGAA